GCCTGGTTTGCTTGCCGAGGATATCTTTGAGGCTATAAATCTGCTAGAGTGGTGCGCTGTGGGCGGTGTCGTTCTCCCATCACCTGAGCTGCCTTCTTCTCTTTTCTACTCGTGAGCTCGTAATCGCACCCTTGATGTTGGATCGCGGAAGCACCTTCACAAAGAGTTCCCTAAGGTCGACGGACCACCGTCGCTCCTTCTGTCTTCTCTGCGAGAACAAGGGTAAGTGATTTTTGCGTCGTTCTTCGGGTTTGACTATGCTTGTGTTAATCACGGGTGTGTTTAGGATCATATCTCTAAAGATGGTGTCGGAGACCGGAGGTCCATCCAGTTCCATCCATCCGTGGCCTGTTCTGGCTCTGGAGCCGACGAGCCCCGCCCCCTGTCCCTTGCTATCGGGCAGCAAGGGATATGGAGCTATGTGCTTGAAAGGGACAAGGCCTGCCAGTTGCATTCGAGTTCTGTTCATGAGGTGGCCTAGCTGAAGGCCCACGTAGACTATCTCCAGGAGGCCCTCCAAGTGGCGGAGGAAGAGGCCACCGAGGCACGGGCGCTAGCAACCTCCGCGTAGGTGCGAGCGTACGGTGAGTTCCCTATTTCCACAAATTCCTATTCGTTAGGTTCTTGTTTTTAGGTTTCAACATGACTTTCCAGATCACAGTGCTGGAGGAACAGCTCATGGCATCCCGCCATGAGGTGGTGGAGGCTCGCCCTCGGGAAGGTCCCTCAGGCGAGAATCACCATCCAGGTGTGGCTTCCAGAGCTCGGCGGTGGACTGGTTTCAACGGATGACTTAGTTGCTACTATGGAGGCCGCGGCGGTGATCATGAAGATGAGGGGTAGTTTTCGTGGATGTAGCTAGGTCTTCTAAGTGGCATCGGGTGTCCCCAGTTTGCCAGCCCACATGCTTTACCGGCGGGCGAGGTTTTAACATTTTAAACTATCTATGTGATCTATCGACTGTTTTGACTTCTTGTTTGCTCACGCCGTCGTTTTGTCCTTGTTATTTTTACATTACTTTTGTACTTGCCCAGCATAGGCGGACTTGCATTTTTTGCGGAATATTGGTTACCCGCAGTGCGCGGACACTAGCCTAAGATGGTGAATCGGGCTTCACCTCTGCAGTGTCCCATGGTGTAGGTAGTGACAATGTGTGCTGGTGGGGGGGTGACACTTTGACCACCCGTGAGGAGCAGGTCAGATCATCTAGATGATGAAATGCCTTCGAGATGAATCGCATGGGCTCTGAATACCTAAGTTTATTCTACGCTACGTCTTAGTCAGCCAGGTTCATCGATCGCCTCTATGCGCGTATGTGAATGCGATGAAATAATGAAGAAAGGGATATGATTGATATCACCGGTGTTTGTTCAGGGAGCGAACGTTTGCCCTGCTGCCGCCGCTCGCACCGAGGTGAGTTCCCGAGCGCTCGCTTGTGGTGGAGTTATCGTGGCTCCCGGGCTTCGGGTTGGTGAGGGTGTTTCATGGTTACTTGGGGTTGTCGTAGTTGGCGTAGATCATCCTCTTGGGCTGCCTTGGGCTCAGCCTTGTTGGCTTGTCATCCTTGGTGGGCCCACGAGCCCCTAGGGATGATCCCTTCGTGCCCCTCCTGTTGTAGTCTTCGGCCAGGAGGACTTGTGCATTCTGGTGCTTGAGTCCTCCTGGTGCGACGTCGCCGTGGCCATCGCGTCCTCGCCTCCGGTTGTGGTCATTGCTCTCGACTGAGGGCTGGCGTGGCTTGTTGCTGTGGAAGCTGGTTCTGAGTGCCACGTGGTTTGATCCGCTCACTACGGCGCGTGGTGCGCTCAGGATGCCTGCTTCCTCTAATGCTCATGCCTCCAAATAATAGCTGACAGTTCATGGAGACTTGGCGTGCGCCCTATTCGTCATGCTGGGTTGGGTCCTAGTTCCGAGCTTGGTCCTGCATGGCATGTCGCTGGGCAGCCATCCAATCACTAGCGATGATGTCGTGCGGCGGTGGGTAGCTACATTGCTGATGTGTGCCCTAGCTTGTTGTGTTTCACTAGCGGTAGAGACATTGTCCTGGGCATGATTCTACCATAGGGTCTAGCTTTTCCATGCGGTAAGTCTGGACTAGGTAGAAGCCGATGATAGGCGTCGATCCGTTGGTTCGAGCGATCTCGTGATTCCCTATAAGGATGTGGCCACCGAGGGCCATTCCTTGGGTGAGCTCACCGCGAGCCATGGACCTCCGCCCCTACGTAGGTGAACTCTAGGATGTAGCCCATGTGGGTAATTCTGGGAGTGTGTATGTCGTGGACCATGATGTTTGGATCTCCAGGGCAGATGTTTGGGCCACAGTTGAAGGCAGACACGGGCGCTGGCCCTTTGGCGCTGATGAACTCATAGTTTTGGTGGCGGATGTGGCCGTCGTGGGCCATTCCACGAGCGAGTCCACCGACGGTGCGAGGAGCCATTGCTTCCTTCTTAGAAATACGGGAGTGCGTGACTATCCCCTACCTAGCGCGCCAACTATTGGTGTTTCATAAACTGGACTAGTAACCTTGTACGATTGCCACGCTGCTCTAGGAAGACGATGGTGGCATCCAAAAGACATAAGGATTTATACTGGTTTAGGCCAGGGCCCTACGTCCAGTCTTAGAGATGATCGAGTGCGTGTTCCATGCTTGAATGCTCTAAAGTTCTTACAATAGGGGTGCAAGAATGGTGGAAGAGGTAGGAGAACCTATGCTAGGCGATGGACTGCCCAAAGGGAAGCTTCAGGAGCCCTACTACGATGGAGAATGAGTGAATGAGTATGGAACTCAGAATGTCTAGAAAGGGTGCACTGGCTACCCTTATATAGAGTTTGGGGCTAGGGCGCATACAAAGCAGGAGGTTCTCCCAATCGAAGGGTCGTGAGCCTGAGGGATGGTCTAGCTAACTTGGCTTGCAAGCTACGCCGTCTTGAGGATCATGTCCGGGCGTGGTTGTCGTCATCATCTTGTGGCCACATCACAGTGGGGTGTGGTGTGGGCTTACTGCGCCGGCCGTGGTGGCACTGTAGGAATGGTGGTGGTTCACCAGCCGTCCTGTGTGATGTGGTCTCTGCCATGGGCCTTGTTGTTGTCTCCTGGTTTCTCGGAGTGCGGTACAAGAGTTGGTAGCCGCCATTAGGTCGTCTATCACCTGGTTGTCGTTGAGGAGCTAAGGGCCACGATCCCAATCATTGTGGTCATAACTTTCGTCGGTCCGGGTGGCCTTTAAGTCAAGGCCCCCATCGTGGATCCCATCCCATAGTAGGTGAGATCATACATGCATCTTATCGGGTTGTATCTGGCCGGTGGTCATCGTGCCAGTCATCACCGCCTCAGGGTGGTGTTGTCTTATCCGATCTTTGTGGCGCAGGGCTGGCATCTAACCAGACCAAGGTGACTGCTGTCCCCTTGGTCCTTACGGGGTTAGTGAGGCGTGCCTGCCTTTGCCACAATAGGTGTACTTGGCTGGGCTCGACCTCTCCCCATCCCTTTCAGGGGTCGTGACGGGGGTGAGGTCACACGCCTTTCAAGAGCTAGGCGGCTAAGGCAGGAGGAAGAGGTCGTGACTGATCCTAGCCCTAGCATCTAGCCTGGCTTGCTTGGCTTGGCTGGGCCTCGGTTGTTCGGGCCTTCACTAGCTAGCGTATTGCAGGCTTTATGGCCTGCTAACTATTCAGTGTCTTCAGACACCCCGAGGTTATAACCCCGACAGCGTAGCTCGTCGAATCGAGGAATGCACCGTGTCGCGAGCCCTCTAGGTCTCGTTGATCGTGTCATCCTCATGCTGTGTCATCGCCTGCTTCGTCGCATGCCACGGCCGAGGTCGCAGGGCGTGACCCCCACGTGCTTCCCTACCATGTAGGGAAGTTGTGTTCGGGTTCAGCCCCTAGGAGTTGGCACGTGGTTATCGCGATGTCGTAATTTTCCTATTCACAGAGGTGGGCCTGCTGGAGGTTGCCTCCTATAGTGATGATTTCTTGAGGACAGGACATCTTGAGCTTCAAGTAGGTGTAGTTGAGGACGGCATTGAACTTGGCGTAGCATGGTCGGTCCAGGATGGCGTGATAGGCGCAGGGGAAATCCGCTATTTCGAAGGTGAGCGCTTCCATGCAGAAATTGGCTCGACCTCCGAACATCACCGGTAAGTCGACCTGCCCGAGGGGAACGGCTTGATGCCCGGGTATGTAACACCCGTGTTTTTGCATCATGTTAAAATCCACTAAAAATTTGAACATTTTAAAACTTTACAACAACTTAAAACTTAATTAAACATATTTTCCACAAAACCTTTTTAAATAAAATGTTTTTTGGAAACCCTGCATCAAAATCCACCATATGCATTTATGTGTTGCGTAGGATCTAAATATAGCGATAGGAGTAATTTCTAGGATTAGAAAATCGCTTCGCATTTAAATTCCATTGCCTGCACCTTGTTTGCTTGAGTGTATGCTTCAATGCTTGTTTGAATGCTTGCTTTTCTAGAATTTATTTGCGGCACCAAAATAACTTCCCTTAATTTCCAACTCCGTTCTTGAATTATTTAAAACCTTTTCTTTATATTATAGAGATAGATAATACATCACAGATATAAATAATATTTTATTCACTAGGTATCATAATAGCCATCGCATTGATAATTTATAGGTTTAATTATTCCTTCAAATATTCCCTCCTAAATTTACATTTAGTAAATTTATAGATATTAGAAAACCTAGAAATAGGAAATCGTTACTTTCTATCGTAGTTAAAATAGAATATATATAATGATTAGGAAATACATCATAAGTATAATATAATGAATATTGTTACATTATCTATTTATTATTTACAAAAAGAATTATGCATATATATATACATTGTTACATTTCTGGGAAATAGAAAGTCCATCATCTAGTAGTTACAGAAATAGGAAATGGAAACTCCTACTATGTGCGCTTCCCTCTCTCCCGAATGGGCCCAGCCCAGAGCCGCTCCCCCTCCCGGCCCAACCAGGCCCGCAGCCTAGCAGCACGGCAGCCATCCCCTCCGCTTCCTTTCTCTCACCGATGAGCAGGGCCCACTTGTCATATCCTTCTTCTCCAGGAGGTCAACGACCTCACAGTTTCCTTGTCCTCGAGGCCGACGACCTGCTATGCTCAACCGCCTCGGAGCGTTGACGTTGTACGCCGATGGATGAGGATCACAGCTGTCACCCTGCTGTGCCCTGCCACCCTTGCCGGCGAAATATCTCCATGGCTGGTCACCGATGAGCTGTGCGGCACCGCCTTGCTGTGGTTGCTCGCCAGCTATAAATAGCCGCAATGGCTGCCGTGGAGCCTCGCCCCATCAAGCTTGGGCAGCCACCTTCCTTCTACCGAGCTCCCCGCGTCGAGGTCACCTTCATCGCCGTGCTCAGCTCTGCTCATTCCCCTTCCCCCTCCGGTCAGCCTCTGCCCATCTCTCTCCCTCCGCCTCGCTCTCTCCCTTCTGCCGTGCTCTGGTCCTCCCCTCTACTCCTTCCACCTTCCTCTGCCTCTATCTCCGCTCTGCTCCCTCACCGCAGCAAGCACCGCCACTGCCCAATGCACTATTTCCCCCCCTCTCCACCTTTGCTGCTCAGCCACCGCTCGCTGCAAGCCGCCATTGCCGAAGCCCAAGTCCTCCGCGCCAGAGTCCCGCAGCCCGGCCAGCTCCACCTCGCCGGAGCCACGCTCGCCGCGCACACCGAAGCCGTGGCCACACCGGGACGCCGTCAGAGCTCCGGCCAGCCACGCCCTTGCCTTGCTCCACCTTGCCATGTTGCTGCTCTTGCTCCAACTCCTCCGCTCTCTCCTTCCTCGCCTTGCCTAAAGCTGCCGTTGGCATGCCTTCCCCCTGCTGCTCCTTCCTCCTCTCTTTCCCTCTCTCTCTCTTTCTCTCTCTCGTCTCGCCCTTTGACCGGATGAATAAGGACAGCGACAGAACAGACGGGCCAAGGCATCTGATGCCCCGCGCCCAATGAAGCCGCTCGGCCACGTCTCCCTGGCCATTGGGGAGGCGCCACGTCGCCCCGTGGGATCCACTCGGCAGCCGCACTACCTCTACCCCTTTCCTCCTTTTCTGTATGAACGTGGTTCACGTGAACCAGAGAGGCGGCGAGCAGGTCTATAGCACAATGCGAGCCCGGTCAGTGGAATAGTATAGCAAGCCGAGCCCACCAGTCTAGCCCACGTGTCATTCAAGCCATGGGAGAAATTGCTAGGTGCACACGGGGAGTGTACACAGGAATATAAAAGGTAAGCTTATTAATTATAGAAAAATTCCTAAAAAAATTGTAAATAAACTAGAGTCACCCTAGAGCATACCTAGATAGTTTGCCACACATTTTCATTATATAAAATTGTAGAAATAATTTTCATATTCCGTTCCATTCGCGTTTAGCCAATAAACCTAGACACTTTATAACTCATTCATTTTAATTCCGAATCCAATAATTCTTTCACCATAAATCTTCTAAAGTAAAACCCTAAATAACCATACCAATTTTCCCTAATTTTTAGTTCCCATTTAAATTCTAGTATTGATTTCTTTTCCCTTTTCTATATTTAAATAAATACTAGTTAAGTAGTATCCATCGCCGTAGCAATAGTTAATCCCGTATATTCGCGTATGTGTATACACTATGACACATACTCTAATATATTCATACCCAATCACCAAAAATGAATAGACATCTATACATATATGGATATGCCCGATACCCTGGTATACGCCTATGTATGGCTAACCCTAGCAATCTAGTTATCCAATGTTAATTAATCATGTGTATATACATATGCATGAACGTATATGCCACTAACCCTAGGCATAACCTAGCCCACCTAATTAACCCTAGGCACATACTTATCCACATGCGCATGTGACACTAACCCGGTGGACCTGTAGAAGTCAGATGAGTCATCTACGATGACTTGATCAGACCTTCTCTTTCAGGTTCACATAACAGTGAACCCTAATAATGTGGTCTGGTTTTCTATCAGACCAATCCACCACCTCAACCTAACCCATAGAAGCCCTACCTTATGGATGGAGTACATCTATCCAAATCTTACTTAAAATTGATATAATAATGATAACCTAGATAATAACCCATCACCCAATAGAACCAACCCATCTAGGATCGTTTGTTTGTTTGTTTATGCTTGCTTTACATGCCTTGCTTGTTATTTCCCTTGTTTGTGTTTCCTTGTTTGTCGACGCTAGACTGCGTAGGATAGAAGACGTGTGAGAACCCGATGGAGTCTAGAAGACAGGAACAGGAGACACAGGAATCGGACAAGGATATAATCGTCAACGAATGGAGGCAAGTTCTAACACGCACCTAACCCCTCCCTCTATACTACATGCCATCCCTTAACCACCTCCCTTCCACCACCACCACATATTGCTAGCCTCCACAATAAACCCTCTGCTATCCATCACCACCAAATAATAACCCAACCCCTATTACTTGAGACCCCTCATGAATTAATGAAACTACAAATATGAGCTTAATTATGATAATATGATATGGTAATGGTTACCTTAATATGATATGAGTATTATGAACTTGAGGATAATAACTATGGAACTTGAATGGTAAAATTTGACTAGACCCCGACATGGGCTGAGTGGGGGTGATTTATGGAGATAAATTGCCTTGGTAGGAATTCCTAGAGTGGATTCCTGTGGGAGATACTCGCCTCGGTCACATAAGGATGGGTTCATAGTCCCTCTCACCTAGTGAGATATTATGTACAGCCACATATCTATATGAGTAGACTTGATCTCACACCCCATTAGATAGAAGTATAATTTCTATTTGGAGGCCGGTGTAGGCAGCGGAATATCAGGAGCCGACATGGGGGATAGGTTTTCTTCCATGGTCCAGTTGGCGTGGATGCTATGTGATCTTCCACGTTTAGCTTTTGGTTTTTGGCCATGTTCGAGCCCTTGATTTTCTTGGGCATGTTCGAGCCATGTTTTTCTTTTGTGATGATTTGGTATCATCACGTTGGGGGATTTGGTATCTTCCTGGTTTTTATGTTTCCAACACCTGAGAAGCCATGGTAGAGTTATACGGAAAATCTAGGATAGCTCCCAAGCGGGTATGGGATCTCATTAGACTTGTCTAAGCCATGACGATGGTGTCGGACTGTGTCTATCTATGGGGAAATTTATACACCTCTACATAGTTTTATTAAATCTATTCGAATAGTCACGTCCTTGGAATGGGAAAATGCTAGGATGGGATACTATGATTAGACTTCTACAACTATGATGATCTGGTAAGACGTATTTTACTAAATTGGTAATTATAATGAATAACGGGAACTTGTGAGAATGGTAATACTCTACCAGGTTCCAACCTATAATTATAACTACTTCACCATACTACTTTCACCTCAACCACCATAACCACCCTCACCATATAGCCTTCCCTACTCACCTTCCCTCCACCCAAAGTTTAGGGCTTGCTGAGTACTTTATGTACTCAACCCCCTCCAATCTATGTTTTTAGGCAAGAAGCTATAGGAGCATCTACCTAGATGGAACTTCTGGAGCTACACAAGGATAGGATATCCGGAGTATACTCGAAGACAGAGCCGTTTGAGAGAGCTATGCTAGGATCACAATGATTGGGATATAGGAATACGCTTAAGGAATAAGTCTAGGGTTACGTCCACACTCCAAGTTGCCTGTAGGAAATAGAGCCACATTGATATAGGACCGCTGTCTTAGAACTCTAATGTCCGCTATAAGGCCAATGGCCTAAGCTATGTAAACCCGAACCATGTAATGCGTTTTTCCCATTAGCAATGAAAGTATGGTTTTTGATATCAATCTTGTTCGGGTTGTGCGTATTAGCTATTGATCTAGGGATGGATACATGATGCATAGAGGACCCTAAATTAGGGGCTCGACAGGGTATGACTCTGTGGAATGGAGCACCAGATGGCCGTATTGCTGCTCATGACAGCCCCATGGCGTCATACGACTCGACGTAGAGGAGGTTGAGGCCGCTCCCGCCGTCCATGAGGACGTGAGACAGGCGGGTCTTACCAATGATCGGATCTATGATGAGTGGAAGCACCCCAGTTGTGAAATGTGGTCGGGGTGATCCTTTTTGTCAAAAGTGATCGCAGTTTCTGACCATTTCAGGAAAACCGGGATAGCTTCACCTAGAGCAGCAGCATTGACCTCCCTAGCCATGAGTTTCTGCTAGTGTTTGGACTCGTACACCACCGGTCTGCCAAAGATCATAAGGCACCCTTCCAGGTCGTGATACGCATCCCCTTTCTCCCCATTGCCGGTGGGCCCAGACGGTGCGTCCATGCCGGTTGCCTTGTAGTCACCACTGAAGTAGCGCTTGATGAGGTCACACTCCTCGAGGGTGTGCTTGACTGGATAGCTATGGTTGCAGCATGGCATCTTCACTATCTTATTGAAACTGACGTGGTTGAGCTTGCCAGTCTTCTGCTTATGGACCCTGTTGACCGCCACGACGAACTCGCTATCGAGGCGCCTCTAGCTGTCCTTCTTGCCCTTTACCCATCGATTGTGGTCTTTAGCCTCATCCACCTACACGTCGTGCCGCTGTCACCTGGCCAGAGCACGCTTGGCACATGGTGTCCATTGGGGGCGCCATGTGCTGAGGAGATGTGTATGAAGCTGGCCTCAGGGTGCCACCTCTCTATGAAGCTTTGAGCCTGCTGCACCGCCATAGTTTCTAGCAAGTCTTGCAGCTCCTGATGGACGCGCTTTCCCTCATCGATCGAGGGTTCAGGGGCCGTCCGCATGATCATGGTTGCTGCCATGACATTCCGGCTAGCTCGAGGGAAGATGGGCATCTCCCCCTTGCTTTATTGGATTTGATCATACACACGGCAAGCCCGCGCCTATGTGCCCTCAGCGTCGAGGTGTTGTGGGCTAGGGCATCCGTCATTACGATGTTCATTGGCCTAGTCAGCTTTGTGGGCCCTAGCTCATTCCAGGCTCTCCTAGTCATACATGGCCTATTCTTCGGGGGTGCATGGAATCAGATAGGTGTCGTCATCTACATCCTCTGCCAGCATTGCCCCATCCTCCGAGAGATGCAACATGTTGCATTCTCTTAGCGGGTGGTAGCTCCCCTTAGAATCAGACTTGGAGTCTGTGTTCTCAGGGGTTGCTAGTAGGAGTTCATAGATGGACTCTAGATCTCACTCCATCATCCCCACCAACCCAGAGGAGTCTGGCGTCATCGGATAGCCATTGCGCCTAGCTAGCTCCTGCTCAAAGAGTGCGATTGCATCCCTCATTTTGGAGGGCAGTGCGGTGCTAGGGTTCTAGAATTCAGCCTCTGGCAACAGGGGCCCACTTCTAGAGAGTTGGGCGAAAGCATTCGCTAACACATAGAAAACGCGTCAGCTTAGCTCTGGCTCGAAATTCGCCCCAAGATAGGAGTCGATTCTGCATGCTAGCGCATCAGAGTCGATGATCGTGGGACCGGCTCAGGCCGATCCATGATCGGGCATCGAGATGTGCGGTGGAGCCGCATTCTCTTCACTGAGCTACAGCTGACCTAGGTGGTCGGCTACGAAGTCTAGGTCCCCGAAGCTACCTCATGGACGTCGGTGAACTTGAGGCTTCCGAAGCAGATGCGGCTGCCGGGGGTGACACTAAGAGCAAGTCCAACATAGGTGTAGGGAGCCAACACTTCCTTCTTAACGATGATAGTGCACGACAGTCCCCTACCTGGCGCGCCAACTGTCAGGGTTTTGTAAACTGGACTAGTAAA